ACTAACAGTTTTAATATAAAAATTTAAAATTTTAATTATTGAGATGGTTCCGTGAGACACTTTGGTGTTCATCATTAAAATTTTCAGTTAAATGTTCAATTTAGCCCCTAATTTTAGACAGAGATTTTAATTGGGTACCATTATTTTTGTTTAACGATGATCACCCAAAAACTTTTTAAAACTCAGTGAGGTTATTATTAAGCGGAAAAGTTTTATCTAGGACTGAATTTTTTTTTTCTCTCTCTCTTCAGAGTAAACTGTACAATTTCAATCTCATTATTAAATGTGTCTTTTTTTTTTTTTTTTTTTTTGGTTTCTCGTTCGGTATCTGAAGTTTCGCCATAATTAATCCGGACTCGACCCACGTCGCGTACCTAAAAATGGTGGGTGAGTCTCCCAATGGGGGTTGCTACGTACACAAAGTTTCGAACTCGAGACCTTATTTAAGCTGAAACAAACTTAAGCTGAAACAAGTCACTTACCACTTGATTCAACTCCTCATTGGTTAAATGTGTCCTTTCTATTAAAACTAAAACTAAGCATTCCTTCAATGGTACAATGTAAGATGGCTTATAAGTACTTTGAAGCTAATTGGTGCTCTTTTAAATAGAAAAATCTAAGACATTTCACTGATAGAATTATTACTATAATATATTCAGTTCACTTCGAATTTACAAATTTTGACATGCATTTGATGTTCATACATAAATGGTTAAGTAAGATAAGTGCTTTTACGATATTATCATTCCATAAGAAGTTACAAGACTACAAGAATTAGGTAATCAAGTATTTACAACATTTATATAATTATAAATTTATAATCATAATATATTATTAAATATAAATATTATACAATATTAAAAGTCAATCATATTATATTATGATTATAAATTTTTAATATTATATAACATTGTAAATATATAATTTCTAATAAAAATTAAAGTAACATTTTTACTGGTACGAATGAATCTATAATATACTTTCATCTTTTGTAGTACAAGAAAACCTTATCTCGCTCTTATTCATATTATATATGTATTAAAAATTTTCCGTTAAGAAATGTCCTTTTTATTAGCAGGTGGAGCTTAATAGAGATATTTGAAGGTCTTTCTAATTATTTTGATTTTTTTTTTGGGTAGAATTCTAATTATTTTGATGGAATCACTTCAGTGAGCCCTTTTCTTTATAAGAAAGTCTTTATTTCTTTACTGTGTCTTATGACTAATTGCTATAAAGCAAGTTGTGTTTCACATGTTTGTTGCCAACTCGACAAAGGCATTCAAGTTGATTGGGACAATTGATGACCGATCTCTTACAATTTTTAATTTGACTGTCCATGTATATTTAGAGGAGCTAGGTTCAACATTCTCTTATATGGTCAAAGTGATCACTTTTTTTTCATGTGAAAGATAAAGTGGAGCGTAACACATGATTATCAGATCAACTTTTTGATTGATATTTGAATAGATACTAATTTACTAGTCATGTTTCTTACAATAAAAAAAAAAAGAGAAAAAAGGAAAGAGGAGCTAGGTTCAATTTGCACAATATATTATCATCACTTATAATATTCTAAAATACAATCATAGATGAAACTAAAGTCCCATTTACTATAATTGTAATTTTTAGTTTTTTATTTTGATTTTTAAT